TATCTAGAAAAGTCTTAGAAAAGATTTAAGTCCCATATTCTATCATATGAATGAACCAAATAAAAAAAAAAAAAAAAAAAAAAAAAAAAAAGACATGTACTTCTATTTGTTGTGAATAGACCCCTTGTGATTCTACTTGTTGCGAATAATAAACTCCCATGAGTGAGTTTGTCTTTTTTTAAAAAAATATTTTTTTTCACTCTTAAAATCGTCAAAGATGTTTATGGAGTTGGATAGACCCCCTCTTGTTCAATTGGTGAGGATAGACAACCATTGCTACTTTTTTTATATACTTTTAAAGGATTCAAAAAAGTTTACTAGGGGACGTAATTACACTTGGAAGGAATCTATTCACAAGTAAAACTACATGGATCTGTTTGCAACAAATAGCTACAGGGGGTTTCTTTTGCAATTAAATGATGCAACAAGAAGTCTGTTCGCAGTTAAGAATTACAAGCAAAACACTCTTGGAAGAAATGCATGCGTTATATGCATGTTTAAGGACTAAGGGTATGTTTGTTTGCATGAAAATAATTATGAAATAGCTGAAGTAAAAGAAGTAGATGTTACTTCTGCTACTTCCAAGCAAAAAAATATGTTTGGTTCTTTGAAAAACTTACTTCTAATACTTTCTTAAATGTTAATGTGGCGCCTACGTGTCATCATTATTTTCAAAATATTTTTCCAATCCTCAATACTCAGAAGTAGCTTGGAAGTAGTTGAAATGCATGTTAATTAGGAAATAAATAATTTTTTTATTAATATTTCATTTATTAGTTATTTCTAACAACTTGATAAAATTGCTCTTAATTTTAACAATTATTTTGTAGTAATTTGTGATAGTTGTCGGTCAGCTTTTCTTTAGGATGAAGAGAACAGTTTGTCTATTAATTCTTTGTCTAACACGTTGATGTTTCGATCAAAGGAGCGAGAGAGGAGGAAAATTGAAGATTCAAAGGAATTTATGATCATCCGGAGTCTCATCGTAGACGAGAGGTAAACAATTATTTTGAAGCCATGTGATTGAAGGATTCTTCTTGCTCTCAAGTGGCGAGGGGTTATAGCGGCATGAAACTGGTTGTAACGTGCTAGATCAAATTAAAGAGCGTGACATGACTCTAAAATTGTGGAAACAACATGTATTAATTACTTCCTAATAATATTTACAAATGTTATCCAAACAAAAAAAGTAAATGAAGAGGAAGAACTACTTCCATTACTTTTAAAAATATATGAAAAAAATACTATTTCCATTACTTCATACTTCATAGTTTTGAAAATTACTTCTATAACCTACTTTTTACTTCCAATACTTCCATTATCCAAACGTGCCCTAAGGCATGTACGTCTGTCAATGAATCCGTAAAGATATAGTCAAGCATGGCATCATGATCATGTTCCAAGCATGGTGCATGTATAACTCATAGCATACATATATGCATTGATGTGCGCATGCCTAATTTTCCCTTTACAGGCAAGTTTCTGTTCATACCAGGAATGAATTCAGAGATGTGCAATAAATGAATCTGAAAAGTTAATTTCACCACGATCATGTTCAAAGAATCCTAAGGCCTGAATCTTGCTCATATTGAATAAACAAAAGAAATGTTAATTAACTAAACCAAGTGGTAAATAAATAGACATAAAAGCTTTCAAGATACAGTCTACGCAAAATGAAGACCTAAATGATATATTACACAAGTTTCCACAACACTATAAGTTATTTATATAGAGAACTATATATACAGACAGATACTTACACAGACATTTTTATATATAGTAGCCTTATACATATTTACTGACCGCTGCAAGAAAAAAGATGAATGTTTAGCTTTTCAACAGTAGCTTAATATGTACATGTTCTGGATTGAAGCCGCTTCAATGTAGCAGTTTTATGTGCAACAGAGATGAACACTGCAGGTCCTTTGAACAGAGGAGCTGATACATTGTCACGCCCAGTTCCTTCTCTTGGCCCGGAGTTGCATAAGCTTGTCTTTCCATTGTGCTAAACAAATACAAACGCCAAGAAAGTTAAGAGCCTTCTATTAGATATAAGTAAAGCACACAAATATGAAAGATCTTTAGAGATCCATGATCCCTGATAGAAGCTCACGCAGAAAGGCCCCATATAGTTGTGTGCCCTATACCATTACAGCAGTATAAAATTTATAGCCTAGCTAGCATTAATTCTGCAGATAGGTAAATAGTAAAAAAAAAGTTATAGAATTTAATTCGGATCTCCTGTGTTCAGGGAGATAGGAGATGACTCTTAATAAGTTGCTCACTGAAGATGCAGGTCATCAGACCTGTATCACATCCAGTTCATATATAGGCATTTCATCAGAACATCCAAGACAAAATGCATGCCCTGGAACTCCCTAAATTACAGAGAGCTAGATGCAATTTCCACCAAAATTCCTACGAAACTGGCTGCTGTTACCTCCAAACTTTTACGGATTTTTTTTCAGTTAAAACTCTACAATGCATTAGCATTCACATGCTGAATAATCAAGAAGCAACACCTAGAAACGAATATTGGCAAAGTGAGATGAATTAATGCGAACGAACTAAAACATAGTTTAAGCAATAAACTATATAGTGGGAACTAGAAGTGACTAATACATAGTTTAAGGAATAAAGCATATAGTGGGAAACAAGTAGCTTCAACTAAGAATAAGGTGAGCAAGAACCATTAGGGATTGTTCGCACATTGACAAGGGGCACCAAGGACCAGGTCAAGATAAACTAGAGTAATAGTGGAAAGTGGAGCTGGCACTAGTGCACTACAAATCATACAAATAAAGGACTATAGCTAGTTCCACAGAAGAGATACCCCTTGATATAGTTGAAGGGAGAAAAGGATTCACACAGGTCACCAGTCAGGGAAAAAATTGCTTGAGGATCTAAAATAGAGCTGAAGGGAGAAAAAGGTTCATGTAGCCCAGTCCAAACAATCTCTGCTCAATTAGAGTTGCACATGCATGGAAATTAGCTGTGCAATGCAAACAACAAAAAGCCGGAAACAACACAATAAAAAAAGTGATTCCATGCAAAGTATATTTCGCATGATTTAACATCATACAAGAGGAAACTATTTTCAAATGTTATTCCCTAATCAGGATATTTCTAAAGACAAGGTTCAACAAAAAATATCAACCAAATTACTGCTAATGACAAAAAATGAAATATTCTCTGCACCTACACCTACTTATTCTAATTTTAAAACTGAAGGTATTTACTCATTTTACATGAAATTAAGGAGCAAATAAAAGATATATCATACCAGCATCTCTGTATCTTTCTTCAACAGCAGCAATCAGCATGTTCCGAACTAGGTCAAATTCTTTGGTTTCCAAGCAAGGTTGGCCATCAGGTCTGTTGAAGCAAGGGGCTTACATTAGAATAGCAGGTGATGAACGTTTAGCCCCAGGGCTTTTGGGAAAATAAATAACTCATTGCAGTCAAAAATGACTTTATGAGACATAGACAATGGAATCAGGTGATGGACATGCAAACAGCATAATCTCTAACCACCTATGTTGCATGGGTATGGGTACGGGTACAGTTGTTGGTACGGGACAAAACAAATTTGTAAAAGGTAAGGTACAGGTACACGGCTATATAAATATTTATATAGACATAGATTATACATTTGAATTAATAATTTATATGAAAACAATGATGATAAATAAATGTCCTATAACATTTTTCTTTTTCTTTTATTATGTCAAAAAATTAGAATTAGTGAGGTTAAAGATGCTAAAAAGAATGTTTATAATAATCAAACAAGTGAGCAATATAAAGAACTTGACCATATAATGAATAATAGAAACTACAAATATTGTTGGAAAAATTAGGATTAATGAGGTTAAAGATGCTCTAAAGAAAATAAAAAGTGGAAGAGCCGTAGGACCGGACGATATCCCTATTGAAGTTTGGAAATGTCTTGGGAGATATAAGTTTAGGATGATTAACTAAATTATTTAATAAGATTATCGAGATAAAGATGATGCCCAATGAGTGGAGGATTAATACTTTAATATCAATATACAAGAATAAAAGAGATATATAAAGTTGTTCAAATTATTGTGGTATAAAACTCATGAGTCATATTTTGAGACTTTGAGAGAGAGTAACTGCGCAAAGACTAAAAACGAAGACAAGTATATATGAAAATCAATTTGGTTTTATGCCTGTGAGGCCAACTATTGAACCTATATATATTTTGAGACAGTAAAGGAGAGAGATAGAGAGGAGAAAGGATCTATATATGATTTTCATAGATCTAGAAAAAACTTATGATATAATGCCTAGAGAGGTAATGTGATGGGTTTTAGAAAAGAAACATGTATCTAGTATATATATTGATATTGATATGATTAAAAATATGTATGATAGAGTAACAACTATAGGAAGAATTAATGAAGGAGAAACTAAACCGATTCCTATTACTATAGGTTTACACCAAAGATCATCGTTAAGTTCTTATCTTTTCGCATTAGTTATTGACCAACTTACTACGCACATTCAGGATGAAATGCCATAGTGAATAAGATGTATAATTTCTAAAGTAGCAAGGTGGAGACAAGCTCTTGAATCTAAAGGTTTTAGAATTAGTAGAATAAAAACATAATATATGGAGTACATTTTTAGTGAAACTAAAAAAGAAAAGAGCCCATACTACATATTGATGGTTAAGAAATATCTAAAAATAATTATTTCGCTATTTAGGATAAATCATTCGACATGATGGCAAGATTATGGATGATGTTGATCATCGAATCAAATTAGGATGGTTGAAATGGAGGAGTGCTTCGGGAATATTATGTGATCGAATTCCATAGGACGACTATAAGACCAACAATGCTTTATGGCCAGGTGTGCATTCGGTCCAGCTTCGACGAAACTCGGATATGATACTTACCATATCAATATCCACTTACACATCTCGGATACGGATACAAATATACCTCGGTAAGAAAAATTCATATCCATGTCTGCTAAAATCAGATACGGATAGGGATATACATACGGATATATAAACAGATATACATGCGGATAAAACGGATATGAGAAAACTAGATAGTATTAAAAATATATTGTTCATGTGATACAAAAGAGTTCATTAATATGTTCATTATATTTGTAAAGCTAAGATTAAACATCTTGATCATCAAAATTAACCTCAAATCTATAATCTAAGGATTAAAACTATCGTAGCAGTATGATTAATATGTTTTCAGATATTTCGGATAGGAATCCGGATATTTCACTACAAAACCGGATATGTCACTACAAAACCATGTCCATAACCATATACTGTCTATTATAGATTTGAGTAACCATATCCGTATCCTAACGAATACAATTACAGATATTTTATCAGATACATATATGGTTTAACACCTCTATTTATGAGTCAAAGTGTTGAGTAATTAAAAAACATGTGCAAAAAATGAGTACAACAGAAATGAAAATGTTGTAATGGTCTTGTGGGTATACACCAAAAAATAGGATAAAAAATAAGTGCATCCATAGTAAATTAGAAGTTTGGTCAGTACAACCAAGGTTTTAAATGTCGGTTATTAGGGATTTATCAGACGGTCAAAATCCTTATCAGATAGCGGAAATCGGGGATATGTCGGGGATAAGTAGTATTTATCGGAGTAATATACTAGCAAATAATAAATAAACATAAGCTTGAAAAAAAATATAATGCTAGTTAAAATAAAATAATAAACAAGCAAATAATAAGATAACATCAAGAATGAAGAACCATCTACGCATCTACATAATTATTGTTTAATCATGAGATTCATAAACTAACTTACTAAATTGATATTTAGTAGTTATGAGCCATTATCAATATCCATAAACAAACATTAGCTAATTACCAATCAACCAAGTTCCAAAAGCAACAAATATCTCATAATTTGTAAACATTCAAAGAGCAAATTCAAAAGAAAGTAAAAGCTCCCAAATCCTACTTATCGGCCGATAAAACCGATATTTAGCGCCTACTTACCGGCCGATAAGTGCCTTTATCGCCGAAAACTTGCTGATAAACTTTAAAAAACGATAACCGATTAAAAATCCTACTTATCCTAGCGGAAAGCTCCCAAATCCGATAACTCGGCGATAATATCGGATTATCGGCCGATATTTAAAACCATGAGTACAACAGAGACATCTTAGTGCATCGGTTAGAAAAAATGATACTATTATAGTTAATGGGGCAGGGAGATCTAGAGACAGACCTAAAAAATTTGGTTGAAAACAATTAAGAAGGATATGACTAACTTAACGGAGGAGATGTACCATAATAGAATGGAATGGAAAAATAGGATTCATGCAACCGACCGCAAAGATTTGGGATAAAAGCTTTGATGTTGTTTATGTTCTATTATTATGCGGATTATAAATTGGAAAATAACTAGTTTTTAAACAAGACATCCAAACGACCCTTGAAAATCATTATTCGGAGCCTGACCTATGTCCAACGAATTCAAAAAGTGGGTGTGAAGTGTGGGATATATGTCCAAAAAAAATGTATGACTAGTGATTCAAATTAAAATGCGTATTGTATAACTAAGTATATGTCTGAATAAATGTATGCATTTATGCAAGGAGTGACAAGGAGTTTTGAGTATGGGTGCAGGTACAGCTTCAGATTCGAAGTGCCCAGGTAACATAGCTAACCACATATATGAATAAAATTATAATGTAAACTTTCAATTGTGATAAGAAAATAAAATTTTGACCTGTCAAGTTCCGTGAATAGTAATCCATCAGATAAAGGGGCATGCACTGCCACCTTGCTAGGTTCAACGACCTTCATTCCGTCGCTATATGCAAGATGCTTGTTCACTTGTATAGGCACCTGTCCAATATAAAAGATGTTAGAAGGCATAACAAATAGAACAAAATAGATTTAGATGCTCATGAAAGGCAGTAAATGTTGCTACATTTCACATAATTTACTCCAATCACTTCACACTTCTGTGTACATCAATGTAGATGCCATGCGAGCTTTGACTGAGCCTGTGATGTATACTAGTTCATTTCAGCAAAAGCAAGTTCTTCTGTTTCTTGGTTTCTAATTCCCATAGTCCTTCAGATGACAATGGAAGCTTTACATTCATCTTAGTTAATGTAATGTCATGACTTACCAGTAGATTTAGTGATCATATTACGATAAATTTTATATAACCTCATAGAGACTAGTTTCACATAACCATTCTCTACATAGCTATATTACTTTTACAAAGATAAAAAATGACATAGGTTGCTCAAAAGCCCGTGTTTGAGGACACTATTTTTCTCTGCCTCTTTCTTTTAACTTTTATGCTTCCTTTTATCAATATATTAACTAACTCAGGTGAAATTGCTAAGCTCATATTAAGATCTGTACCAAAACTAGAATCTCAGGCATGGATCCTCATATGTTACATGAGTAAGATACACCAAAAAAAAACTGTAGTTGATTGTCTTAGAAAAGCAAATCTTGAATGTTCTCCAAATCATTTTCTCTGAATCACAATTTGGTCAGAGCAAGTTGTCCTATATCAAGGTCATATGAGACATTGATCATCATTATGCTAATTAAGCAAGTATGCACTCATAAACAGGTCCCATGGGAAAATTCAGTTTATTTAATGTAAAATAATAGTAAACAACCATCAAGCTTGTGTACACACGGTAGTCAACAATTAAGCATCTATCAGACATAACTGGGATGACTTGTCCTGATTTTTATGTGCTAGTTAATTCATGGGGTAACACCACAATTAACCCAAAAAAAAAGAAAAAGGAAAAAGAACCATACATTGCACCTCACAGCCATATTAATTGCATCTGAAGGTCTGAGATCAAAGCTAATACTTTCTTTCTCATTTCCAGCCTGCATGTAATAGCCTTGTCTTAATATTTACCTCAAATATGTTCAGCTAACACAATTTGAAGAGGTTAAGATTACCTTGATAAGGTACAGCTGAGCGAAATATGCCTCATGTACTCTTTTGGTGACCCGAACAAGTTGCACCTAGAACGGAAAAGGCCCATCTGGGGTAAGGTTTTTTAAAAAATCCCAATTTCATGAGATATAATTCCAGATGAGCTTTATTAATAAGCAATTTAGGAGTAACTCCATTGCCTCCTCTGGTATTGTCAACTTGCCAATACCTTTTGCAGATTATTTCCCAAGAAATCATCATGACAATGTATGCACAAATAAAATTTCTATTGGCTAAACTCATCCTCACCTGATAACCCATTTTATCAACCATCTCTTTTACAACTTGATATATTGTTGGCCTAGCCTGCAGGGAGAAAAAAATGGCACACTAGCTTTCAAAGAGCAAGCGCTAAAGCAAGTTATGTTATCTAAACAAAGATTTCACAGGAAAAGGGAGGGAAAAAATCATAGGGCGAGAGAAAACTTACAATTTGAACATTCCGAACTGCAGCCATAAGCAAAATGCTTGGCATCTCCACTAGGAAAAAAGGAAGAAATAGAAAATCATTAACAGAAAGAAACTTCAAACACAGTTTTCTTTTTCTTTTTCTTTTTTAAAAATATCATCTACGTACAGACAATAATAGGAAGAAGAAGATCACTGCCATCTTCCATCTTCAATACAATAGCAGGATGAGGAGCATAATCTGGCAAGGGTCCACCATGGGGGTTGTTGTGAACACATCTTAAATGTCTGCCGTCACGCATTTTTATCAAGAAACCATCTGAACCACTTTTCACCTCCACTGCCAAATAATGAAAGAAAACGTTATGTGGGTTGTATGTGTGTAAGACTGATCAAGAGCTATGTCAAACTAGTCAAAGTGTGAATTTTGGAGGAAACAGATTCATGTGAAGGCGACTGAAAACAGCACAAGTTTTAGACACTGGCAAAAGCAGAATAATAGTAGCGATAGAATCAGATAACACACAATATTTAAAGCTGGCAACTTCTAAAATGACTAGTGGAGATCACGACTGTGGAAAAATGACAACATTACACCAAACATGATTGCCCCAATATTTCAACCTCAGAGCACTATAGACAATTAGAGGAACATGGAAATCTATTCTTAACATAGAAAACTAGTTTGAACGTTTCAGTAAACAGTTTCTTTAAAAAAAACTGCAAAATATTTAATCATAACTCGCAATACATCTCAGACCACAGAGAAAATCGAGACATTTTTAAGGCACGCAAAGTTTATCTGGCAACCAAAATCAAGTAATATAAAATATGCTTACATATAAAGCATCATACCAGCTTCAATCACACTTGAATTCACGTAATCTCCATCACTCTCACTGAAGTTCTCAGCCATGCTTCCATTACCATCAGAAGAAGAACTAAAAGTGCAGCGTATTAATCCTTTTTTCCTCTCATGTTGCTTTGAGAATTGAAAGCCCACTCTGATCATGCACCCATACTTCTTTCTAGAACCCCAAAAACCACTTTTAAGAAACCCTCCTTTGGTTGTTAAAGAAGAAGAGTTTATAAGTGGATAGTGGACTCTTCCATGCCTTACATGAACAGCAGGACGGCAAATTACTGGTCCCGGTAGAGTTCCCATAGAGTCTTTTCGCCTAGGCAAATGAAAGGAGTTATAAACTTATAATTAATAGAGAACCAAAAATATGCTCTAGCGAAAAGAAAAAAAAAATTTAAATAGAGGCATTTAAAAATAACTAAACATATATTCTTGGCACCTGAAGGTCACGTTTTTTAATGTATGTTTTGAGTTAGGAACGAGCATTATTCCCGTTAAAAACTTTACAGTGTTCATAGACTATCATTGTGCTTTTGTGTCTATTTTATTACCTGTTCTTTAATGAAACATGTGTGTGACAGGACAAACTAAACATGAAAGACGATTAGGAGATTGAAATCACTAATCAGGCTAGTTCACTGCTGAAGATACAAACAGCGGAAACAATCGACCAAGCTTTAAAATATAAAATCCCTGCATCAGTCTCGATTGTAAACCACCTTTGGATATCAGATGTAAACATACGGTCCATGGAATAACTCGTCTAGTCAGAAGTTTCATATTTGTTGATTTCTTTTTATTTTCCAAATATACCACTATTAAATAACCTTTTTATATCTCAGATCTCAAACCTCCTTTTGTACAAGTTGTAGTCATTACTACTCAATATTGACATATATTAGTTATTATAAGTAACATCGACAGTATCCTATCGAACAGACAGGGCTAACATGTTTTAATATCTGATATCATCCACCATTACATTTTGAAATCAACCAATTCTTCAAAGCTTGCAATCAAGAGACAATTAACATATCATCTAACGTGTCCCTAATTAACAAGGAAGCATATGAAAATCAAATAGTTATCTCCCCAAATATGAAGCACAAATCTATACCAGAATTTATTGGCTAATTCAAATATTAACAACTTCAGTATCTTTAGCAGTGATGTTATATCCATCCACACTAAATACAACGATGATCTTTAACTAATATCTTTACTATTACTAGAAATCTGCCACAAGCAAATGCATGTGATATGAAAATATATTACTTACATTTTATTTAGAATGTATATTTTATAGTTGGAGGAAATAGTGAGGACTGAGGATCAACTAAATTTTTTGCAAGATTTTATCTTCATTACTTGAACTTGAAATCCTCCACTAATCATCTCATCGTCATTATATAATGTATGTATTTTATATTAGATATTATATATTATATTAATTAATATATATATATTGATAATAATATCATCTATATATAATATATATTAGAATAATGGGTATGCTTGTCATAGGAGGAGATTTCCTTCTGAAAATGATGTGGCACAATCCCACCATTGTGAATAATTCTCTCTCTGCCCTACTTTATATTCACACTGGTGGGGATTGTGGGCCACATCATTTTCAAGGAGGAAACCCTCCTTGACATGACGAGCACCCATTAATCTCTCTCTGCTCGCTCTGTATATATATATATATATAAAATATATTATATATATTATATATATATATAATATATATATATATATATATATATAATATATATATATATATATATATGAGATTAATGGGTATCCTTGTCATAGGAGGGGATTTTCTCCTTGACGCCTATGTGGCACAATCCCCACCATCCTCATAAAGTAGGAGAGAGAGTGTGAGTTGGTGGGGATTTGTGTCTACTTTATGAGGATGGTGGGGATTATGCCACATAGACGACAAGGAGGAAAATCTCCTCCTATGACAAGGATACCCATTAATCTCTCTATATATATACATATATATGTATACATACATATATATGTATACATACATATATATGTATACATACATATATATGTATATATGTATATATATGTACATATATATATGTAGATATGTATATATATATTATATATATATATATATATATAGAAAAATGATAAAATGAGATGGTGAGCTTAGATTCTCATTGTGAGCTAGCCCAATAGGCTACTCGAAACGATGATCAGCACCGCCCATCGTGATTTGCACTCACCTTGATCTATATGTAGGAAAAAATTATATTGTTTTAAAATTTTAAATCATTGTTTTAGCTATGTGTAGAAGGGGCTATGTGTAGAAGGGATGGCTATAAAGGGGCCTGAAAAATCAACATATCAACTAGTTTGATTCGTATTCTAGAAGACACTAAATTATGTAGAAATTTTACCAAATACATTTGATGACATGTTGAACGAGATGTGTGGTGCCGATCATGAATTTGATGAGTTGATTAGTCTAGCTCACGATAAGATTTGAGCTCACCATCTCACAATATCATTACTCTCTATATATAGGCTCCATTTTCATTTCATGACATTTCAGTGGCATAGAATGTTCTAGAAAGAAAGGGGATAGAAAAGAGAAACACATAATTCTTTGTTAAACTACATAGAATGTTCTAAGAGAGGGAAAATGGAAAAGAGAAACAATTATCCGTTATAAAACTACAATTTCACCCTTTTTCAAAAATTGAAAAGGATGATTTGTCCATCACCCATCCATTAATATAAATATAGGTATAGATAGTGCATACTTTTATAGGTGTGCAATTAGAATTCATTTTTCTGTTTCACTAAAAAAGTTACAACTTGCACATCTAGGTACCTACTTAGCCGTCCAATTATAAGTTCATAAAGCAAGACTACGGCAATTTCCTTAACTTCTATTTCATTCCTATGCATTGCACGTGCAAAAGAACTAGTAAAACGCTAAAAACAACATATTACTATAGATGACCCTATTTAATAACAAAATCATTGGAGACATAAATTATATTCGACAATCAAAATAAGATTTGACGACGAAACAAAAAAGATCCCCTAAAGCTGCAATATTTACAAAATTCGGTGTGCAAAAACTATATTGAAAAATAGATTCGAAAAATTAGAGATCCGGCGACAAATTTTCAGCACGATCGGAACCTTTTCTACGATCAATCATCGACCGCCTCGAAATATAATTAACAAAATGAAATCGCATAAAATAGAGTGTGATCTCGATACCTGAATTCGATTTCAGTTGCCCGATCTTAATAAAATCAAAGGAATTTGGGGCAGAACCCAACCTAAAAATTTTAGAGAGAGAGATTCAAATAGAAGGCAGGGGAAAGCGGTGGAGTGTAGTAGAGTGGATAATTGAAAAGATTAGAATTATTATTGGTGCTCGTGAGGTGCTTTTACTTTTATGCCCTCCTTGCTTTTTTTGCAAAGAAAACCCAACATTAGGAATTTTGCAACGGATGGATCGTTTTAAGGTTTCGCAAGAATATATTTTGATATCAGTGCAGTACACGAGATTATATATTTGATATCAGTGCAGTACAAGAGAAGATGAGAGAGATAAGGCGGAGTGCATATCAACTAGACAATTGTTGAATTTCTTATTGAAAAATGATGGAAAGATACAGATGCATAACATAAAAAACTTGAAATGATAGGTAGTTGTGAACATTATTTGGTGTGAACTGATCAAACTTTGACGATTTGTTTAGGTTTGATTTTTTTTCCTTTTCCTTTTATTGTTTTATATTTGGTTTGGTTTTAGATAGTTGAACTGATCGCTCTCAACGTAAATGTCTAAAAACTCACTCTCTTTCTAGATGAACAGATAAATTATATCAATATTGTTATGCATCTTAATTGATAAATCTTTGATTTTTGTTTTTAAAATAGTTGATTTGATAAATTTGCTCTTCAACTTGGGATATCAGATAAAAGAAAGATTAGAATGAGTAAAAGTGTAGTCTTTTAACTAAAATTTTCTAAGTTGACATCCAAACTGGACAAATCTAAGTTGACATCCAAACTGGACAAATCGTACCAAACCAACTTGCTTTGGTTTGGTTCAGTTTAGAATCTGGTTCAGTTCGGTTCGATTTGACAAACAAAAGGCAAAATCGACCAAACTAATCACTTGCTCATCCCTAGTATTAGGGTATTAGGGGAGGGGAATATATTTTTCAAAAGAAATATATACTTCGATCGAAATAACTATTGCTACATTCTCATTTTTTTTTTTCTAAACTCATTTTCCTTGCATATTACTTTTTGGTTGCTTAACATTTTGATATATAAAATATATTTGGTCTCTTTCAGGCGTCCTATAACGCTTTTCCATTCTATATCTCACAATTTCAAAGCTTATGCTCAACATTATTAAAAAAGAAACCTTTGCACCAAGAGACGTAAAAGAACTCATCAATTTGGAAAGGCCAACGAAAAGGGTCTCGGAGAATGCCGTAGCAAAAGCTTGGCAAGTAAGTTACTTAAAATAACGCTTGGAGAAATCTGCAAGAAACTTTGATAATGCTATCGTGGACATTGCAAATGTGGGTATAAATGTAACTTACGACTTGCAAGTGGGGGCTTCAACTGCATTTGGACATTTGCCAGGGGTATCTTTAGGAATCAAATAATAGAGCTTTGCTTCACTTGCAGGCTGTCGTTTCTACGAAAATATAATTTTACCCTTTAACCCTGGCTGAATCATTCCCGATTATTGTGCAGAAGACGAGGGACCTTATAATGGTAGTGTCGTCTTTCCCTGCTGACGCTAGATTCTTGTTGGGGTGACCGGGTATCGCCGGTAATGCTATCAGCCAAGAGAGTTGCCGGTTACCCAATCCAAGGAACAAGATAAATATCTAGAGGAAAGGAATGAGCGACACGTGGAAATGGATAAGGGAGACAGCTTTTTCCTTTCTAATTTAAAAAAAAAAAAATTTATGGAGATTTCTCTTTTATTATTCGTCTGGATATTTTTCTAACAACATTATTTGCTTAATAGATAACTTGTCAGTAAATCAACCGGCGGTTAACTCAGATGGTTGAGAGGCTTCAATATGATTCTTGAATTTGATTCCAAGCTAGGTTATAAAAATTAAAGAGAAAATGTGAATGAAAAATTAAGAAATACGAAGAAATAATACTATCTCATTTCCACCACAAGACATAAAGAATTTATTTTCTCGATTCTAAATTAGTACAATATGCGAGCATATATTACTGAAATATGATATACTGAAATATGATATCAGTGCTATCATTAATATTATTTTAATGCTATTTAAATATTATATAAATAAAATCATCAACTTTCAAATATTCACTAAACACATGTTGCGATCTATTTACTTCTTGTATGTTTTTATCTAGGAGAATATTTCTTCCAAGCAAATCATATGTAGCTATGGTTTTTTTGGGATGTTAAAGTTACGAATTTTCTTACAAAGTACTAATTTAAAAGGTTTTAAGAAAAACCTCGTCAACAAATTTGTCTATAAAACTGCGAAGGATAAGGTGCGCTTAATTAGGACGTGGCTTGGATACTTGGGCTGATCAAACTAACACTTCTGTTCACTATGCCGTACCCGAATGGATGCACATGGCTTTAATGAAAGCATATAATGGGCTCATAGTTTCCTGGCCCATTTGTCCCATATTTGGTTCGCCTAATGCGATAAATTTCATAAACGTTTTATTATTAAATTTTTTTGGAAAGCTCCTTGGCGGCAAAATTATTTAATCTTTTTGGTGTTGATTAAGATTACAATTAAGGCCTAGCAAGAAATTCTTTGATGCTCTGAACTTATCCTAAAGTTTGGTGAATACAAAAAATACATAGCTTTATGACTTTTCAGTCACAAGACATGATTAATTTTCGATGATTTAACCGTCTGAACATCTCATCATTAAACATTTAACGCACCTGAATCTTCTCGTATCAGATATTTCCACATAAAAATGTAAAAGCACCATTTTGTTATATTTATCCTTTGAAGCAATGCAATGATATAAGTAGTACTACATCTGAGAATAAAACTTTTACATCATTCACTCATAGTGGAGCAAACTTGTTCGATCCTAGAACTTAATCTCAAGCTGACCAAATTTGCTCCAACCTATAAATTCCCTTGAATTTTTTCAAGGTCCATCGACAACAACATGATTTGTAATTAAATTTAAATCATGCATTTACAAATTTGTTCTAATTGCTACATTTTTATGTAATCCTGCGTTTTCAAGTACCTCCCTGATAATTAGGAGGAGACCAAACACCTCCATTCTCATTTGTGACGTAGGACGTGCATGACAGTGGCACGAGGCAAAGCCCTCTACTCCTTAGGTCTGGCTTGGCTTCATCTTTCTCTTTGCTTGCTTCAGCCTGATCTTGCAAAAAATATGTAAAATTTAGAAATTGACATGAAATTCATTTTATGCATTGCTCTTTGAAAACTAATCCATTTTCTATCTTTAACAATGGAGATGAGTACATGTGGAATGGATCAACATGCATTAAATACTTGTGCAAATGTATATGATGAACAACTTGGCGTCACTTTTAATAGAAATTAAAACAGGTCCATCATATATTCTTCTGTAAGAAGATTAAGGTTCTTGATTTTTCTTTTTCTTTTCGAAATTAAATGACAATATTGTAAGATCAACATTAATATTTGCAATAGAAAAAGAAGAAGTAAAACATAATATAACATATATACTCACCTTTTAGAATAAAATAGTGATTCATATTTATTTTGTATTGCGATCATGATTAGCCAAAAAAAAAAAAAAACTATGGAAAAATTTGGTGGGAAATAACATACCCCTTGTGATGTTCTAGATTTCTTGTTGTTGGAAGATCTCATGTAAGGCACACTTAGTGTCTGCAAGAAAGAAAAGCAGAATTAAGAAACATGAATATAATCATTAAAAGAATTGAAAATGTTTCATTTATATATATTTCAACAATCATTCATCATGTTTATTGCAAGCAACGCAAGTGAACACAATACCTTGATATTCTAATGTCGATGCACATATCCCTTGCATTCAGTCGGCAAGGGGCAATCTCTCATGGGAGGCCACCTGTTACAATAATTTGCCACTTGTACATGTTTTCCTCATAAATAATCCATTAGAAACTCCTATAAATAGCACATACACAACCACAACTGAGGATAACATTCATTTCATCTTTATCCTTCTTTAATTTATATCATCCATGGCCTTGGCAACTTTCACAAAACCTCTACTCACTGACCTTTTGTCGGAGACTTGTGACTCAGTCCAAGCCAGTTATGTCCAGCCCGTGTGGGACCGCCCTAATCTTGTCGACGTGGAGGTCTTCAATGACTCGATCCCTCTCATCGACCTCCATGGCCTCCTCGGATCAGACCGGAGCAAGGTCGCCATGGATATAGGCTTGGCTTGCCAAAATGATGGCATCTTTCAGGTTATCTTCGCGCGTATTAAAATGAGTTGAGGTGTGACAAGTACTGCTACTGAAATTAAGAAAAAAGTATATATTAGGCCAGCACTTAGAAGTATTAACCAGCTAAATTTTGTAAGAAATTAATTAGTCATAAAAGAGATTTGTTTTTCATTTACCCAAAAAGAAAAGGCTTCTTAAGATTAGTAAGGTAGTTGAGGAGTTCCGTTTGAGTACTGCGTGGAAAGGTTGGGAAACTAAGTAGCTCTTTTCATGGGAAAATATTTTTTCTTATGACTATTAGAAGTTATAGACAAGAAGGATGAATATATATATATATATGGAGAGGTTCTAATAAAAACCTCCTTAGCCTAAAAACTAAAAACCAATATCATCCAATGGCTAGGATTCAGTCAAACAGTCAACAGACACATGCATTAATTACCTCATTAAACACATGCATTAATTACCTCAACGTAGTGAATCCAGATTCACTACAATGATTCCAGATTCATTACCTCAACGAACACGTCCTTCACTGCAGTGAATCCATATTCACTGTAGTGAATCCAGATTCATTACCTCAACGAACACGTTTTTCACTGTAGTGAATCCAGATTCACTGCAGCGAATCCAGATTCACTGCAGCGAATCCAGATTCACTGCAGTGACGAACACGTTTTTCACTGCAGTGAATCCAGATTCACTGCGGTGAATCCAGGTTTGTGTTTGTTGAGATAATTAATGCATGTGTCTGTTGACTGTTTGACTGACTCCCATCCATTGGATTCATCTAGATCCAATGGATGATATTGGTTTTTAGTTTTTAGGCTAAGGAGGTTTTTATTAGAACCTCTCCATATATATATATATATAATAGAGGAAGCCACTCCTAGATTTTAATTTTTCTTAAGGTTTTTACATCAAAACCATCTTTACTTTTATCCAAATTGATACTTATCACCTTTAAAGTTTTTTTAATGTAAATCATCTTTACTTACTAACATATTTGGAATATCACACCTTTTTTTACCATTCACCCACAAAAAGTCAAATATTCTCATTACCTCTATCTTATTCCTTCCAACCCCTAACCCTAACCCTGGCCTCCTCCGTCCTCCTCTTCTACAAACCCTAACCTTAGCACATGGCCGCAACCTCACGCAAAACCATAACCTTAACCCCTAGCCGCCACCTCCTCCAAACCCTAACCCTAACCCTAATTCTAGTTCCTACTTGGAAGGAATGGGAGAGCAGGACGTCAGGGAGGAAGATGGAGGACGAGAGAGAGGGGGAGGAAAGACTGGGAGAAGAGAAGGATGAGGAGGTTAGGGTTAGGGTTACGGTTAGGATTTTTGCGAAAGGAGATGAAAAAATAAGAAAATACTGAGGGTAAAACGGTGATTTCGCATATTTTTTAGGTTGACAACTGGATTAGGTGTGATATTGCAAATATGTTAGCAAGTAAAGATGGTTTATATCTGAAAAAACTTTAAAGGTGGTAAGTAGGGGTGCTAAGCCGTATCTGTATCCGAGGAAATATTTGTAATCGTATCGTTAGGATACAGATATGGTTACTCAAATCTATAACCGATATGATATGAATGCGGATATGGTTTTGTAGTGAAATATCTGTATCCGTATCCGAAATATCCGAATACATATTAGTCATACTCTTACGATAGTTTCGATTCTTAGATTATGTATTTGTGGTTAATTTTGATGATCAAGATGTCTACTCTTAATTTTTCAGCTATAATAAACATATTAACGAATTTTTTTGTATCACATGAACTATGTTTTTCTCAATACTAACTAGTTTTCTCATATCCATTTTATATCTGCATGCATATCCGCTTATATATCTGCATGTATATCCGTAACTGTATCCAATTTTAGCGGATATGGTTATGAATTTTCTTTACCGAGGTATATCTGTATCCGTATCTGTATCCAAGATGGGTATGCGGAGATATGATAAGCATCATATCCGAGCCGTATCTGGATCTAAGTATCAATTTGGGGAAAAGTAAAGATTTTTGATATAAAAACCCTTTTTCTTATGCTGTTGGGCTTCATCGTTGGATCCAAATCACTATTACCATTTTATGGGCCTCCCATGACAAGAAGCAAAGAGCAAGGGCGACCATATTTAAATGCCCAAATGCCAAGCCCGTATAATGTCCACATTAGCTTAGCCCATGCAAATTTAACCATCCTAATCAATAGCAGTCTTATACAGATAATAATCCTCTAAAAGGCCCTTAAGAACAAATACGGGATCCAAGGCAATCATCTTCCTTTAAAAAAAAATCCCCCCTTCGTGTTTAGACTTTACGCTCAGTGAGAAAAATCATGTAAAACTATATTTTGTTCTCTTCCGTAGTTTGTTGTTATTGTTGACAAGCTATTTTTAATTTTAAACAAGCGTAGTTTGAACAACTTTACTGTACTTTATTTGTAACATATGTAGCAGTCTATCGAACTTGAGAATTTTTGCTTAAAACATAAGGCTAACTTCTCAATCCTTCCTTATAAATTATGGGATCTACTTTAGATTTTCTTATAGTATAAATACAGTATGAGATCTATAGTGTGATTATCTTACTTGATGCAAAACCCCAACACACTTCGCCAGCTACAGCTAAGCAACACTATTTAATATTAGATACAAACATGTAGCTTTGAGAATAATTAATATTTGTAATTAGTTTAGCATTAATAATACTGTTGCATAAATACCTAAATTTCACCCTTACGCGTGCCCCCAAACAGGTTGTTGGAGAATTTGGATCTTTCAGTGGGTACATATGGAGCCATGTGAATCACAAGCCTATTATAAAAAATCGAAGGCAACATTCATAGAGGAGCTGCACAAATATGGACAAATTTTCAAAACCAACCTATTTGGACTTTTATTCCCAAAAAAAGACCCGTTTCACATTTATTTAGAGAAACCGACCTGGTTTCAGCCTCAGCGCTGAAACCAGGTCGGTTTTTGAAAAAAACTCTCCGAAACTTCACGGGAGTTGAACTCCCGTGAAGTTTTTTGAACTACGAAACTTCACGAGAGTTCAACTCCCGTGAAGTTTCGGAGAGTTTTTTTTAAAAAACCGACCTGGTTTCAGCGCTGAGGCTGAAACCAGGTCGGTTTCTCTAAATAAATGTGAAACGGGTCTTTTTTTGGGAATAAAAGTCCAAATAGGTTGGTTTTGAAAATTTGTCCATGTTTTTTTTTTT